TTATTATTATTATTATTATTATTATTATTACTTTTTTTTCAGTAAAGTTACCTACGAATTTCCTGTATTTTTCTAACTGTAAAAATATCTGTTTTGTTATAACATTATTATTAACACATAGATGTTGTTGATATTATTTTCAGTTGAACCGATTATTACTGAAGCTCTAAACAAGGTTCACGATACAAAGAAAGCAGCGTCGGTCGTCCAAAAGATCGAAAATACCATTGGTCTGTCACCGCCAGCTGTCAATCACATTATTGATGACGTGGAGTCTGAAACCAAGAAGGAGAAAATGCGGTTTGATCAGGATGTTAAAAATGATGAAGACRAAATTCAGAAAGATAAAAACCTCATTAATAATGACGAAAGCACAAATAAAGAAGATTTGCAGAAGAAAATAGAAGAGAAGAAAAAGAAATTGGACGAAGATAAAAAGAGAGACGAGGTTGCGAAAACGAAACTAGCAACGATTGAGAAAATTGAGAAAATTCTGACCATCATTGAAACCGCAAAATACTCCGCTCTTGAGCGAGCAAAGGCGCACTTAATGAAACTCAAAACAGAAAAAGATCCACAAATTAGGAAACGCGATTTGGAAACTCTAGAAAACGATTTGAAAAAATCTGAGGCAAATCACTTGCACAGAAGAAATGAGATCAACATTTGGTTGAAAGGGTCGCGAAATAACATCAATACGAGCCACTTTTTAGAAGGGAAACGGAAAGAAAATGAAGACCACAAGAAAAATTATAAAGTCTTTGGTTCTCCCTCGATTCCAAAGCTTGCGATTGCAAGATTCTCGACAAGGGTGGCCAAGAAATCTAAAATTGATTCTCCAGCAAATTCTACAGCGCGCGCTTCTGAACCAAGTAGAGAGAAGCCAGTCAAGAAGCCTAAGATTGGTATTATATTGATGAGAAAGCTGTTGCAAAGGATGGATGATTTGTACGACATGCAGTCTAAGATTCTAACACAGTTAATTAAGGACCATCAACGTGTGAAAGATGAGAGGGAAAAGGATCGAAGAAAAAGGAATATTCACAGTGCGCATCAACGACATGCAAATCATCGTCATCATCGTCATCTTCATCATCATTCCAGATGAACTACTTATAGGGGAAATTATTAGGAAGTCATTAAAAGCATTCGTCAAAGATTATTCAGTTTAATGTATTAATCAAAACGGGTATTTTACGCCCGGTTAATGGATGAAGAAAAGTCAACGATGAACATTTTCATAAGCGTCAAAATGCAAGCTGCCTTGCTAATGGAAAATGCAAATTCTTGATTATGAAGAACTAAGGACTGAAGGTCTTAAATACCGGGGACACTGATAAATTACTCTTTTAATGTGCAGCTACTGTTGTTGTGAACAACTGGGTTTTGAATTCAAGAAGTATCCAGTAGGTACGAAGGTCTGTAGCCCCTTTTCTCATTGTTCGTTGTTAGGGGGTAGTGAGAGGAAGATAAATTTTTAGGTTAGTGGCAAGTACCCCCTCCTCCCCCTGGATACGCTTATGTAATATATACACATACAGAAGAGACGTGAAAAAAGTCTTGTCAATAGACCCCTTGCATGTGACGTCAAAGGAGCTCAATTTAGAGGACAAGACAAAATAATTTACATCTCATGATATTTGGAAACCTATAGAGGCTTTGCACCGTCACGTGCCGGTGGCCATTATACGGCTTGGGCTGCTTGTGGTTAGATGGCAGAACAATAAATTCCCTGTGCTCTCGGGAATTTAAATCCTTCTCATGTAAAACGATTGTATTGTTCCTGCCATCTAACATGGCTGTGGCTGTCACGTGTTTTGCCCTCCAAGTCGACCTGCATTCCGAAATGCTGCAAAGGTCTCTATAAAAGCTGCATAGGTTTTAGCTTGGGAACTGATACACTAAGTGTATATATATAAATAGCAAGAGTTGTACTCTATAATTGTATGTCATTTTAATATTTTGATTGATAGGGAAGTGTGTCATAATATGGTTTGTTTTGGTATATAGTGAATAATATTTTTGATATAGATATATCATTGTTAAATACTAGGTCGGTGGACTTGGAGATCTGCCTAAGTTTGTGAGGTTAAATATCCAATGTAAATATGGTGTAAATAAATTCCACCAAAATTGAAAATGAGCCTTTGATTTATCAATAAAGCAGAGTGTGACACGCCCTTCCATGTCATGCAATCCAGCAAAATATTTTTAAAATTCCATATTTGAAGACGGTATTTCTAAAAGATGATATAAATCGAAAGATGTGGAGCTTACAAAAGCTAACTCGAAATCTTGCATGGTACGAATTTCAGGAACGCAAGACCGGATCATAAAGGAGTGTTTTAAGAGAGGAGCCCGTGATGACATTGGTCATCGGCGTTGCCCTCACCAGTAGCATCAATTATTTATATCGATTTGTGAGTTTTTCTGAGTACTCAAGACTAACACAGTTAACCAACATAATCAAAGCCTTTAATAACCTTTGTTAAATACAACTAATCTTCTTGACCTGTCTTCCAGCCATAGTTCATCTACTTTTTAAGGGCCTCGTTGATCGAATAATATTTTTCAAATTTTGGCATTTCTTCAAGAAAGAAAATAAAAGATGAGAAATGGATAAAACAAGGTTTAAAATAAACTAATGACGTGATATATATGTCCATTAAACTAAACCTGTGTCATTTCTGGGGCACACGAGAAACTCTTGCACAGATTGGCAGAATACCTGTCGATAGACTATCCATTGACAGGTCTTAGTGTGATATTTCGGTTGAGATGGTTTGGTAGGCGTACATGTCGTTGTGCTTGAGTAGAAAAATGATTTATCTTGAATTTTGTCATTTTTGACATTTCAAATCAATGACTCTTGTTGTGTGAAATTAGAAAATGTTCTATAATTATCACTACGAAAATTAGAGAATGAGGACTGCTCGAAAACATTATCTCTAGTGGAAGAAAAAAAAAACCTCGACATAAAAAAAGAGAAGAAAAATGATGTCAACGACCTAAATAAAAATCATTGCCTGTGACGACCTTTTGGAAAGAAAGGAGGATATTCTTTTGTCTTGTTGCTAAACGCCTTGTGTCTGTTGTGTTTGAGTCTCAATGGCGAAATCTTGTGTATTTTTGACGTTACTCTTTGGATCGCTGGTTCCTCTCTACAAAGTTTGTTTGGGTAAGTATACTTAGTGATTTACTAAGTTATTTTATTAAATCTCGTCATTGTTTTGACTATCTTTGACTTTTCTAACCGAAAACTTAGAATTGCTTTTGTTCTTACGCGAAAATTGTAGAATATGGCCAAATCTGATTCAACACACAGAGAAGTGTCATAAATAAGATTTATTCTTGTCTGATTTTTTAAGTAAACCAAACTGTATATAAGATAATTGACTACAATTTGCGATCCAATTTTTCAGGTACAAATGACTATGATTACAAGCCAGTAATCTTTGACCAGCAAACGCAATGGAAACCTGATAATAAAGAAACAGATGCAAGACGTTATTTTGAAAGACCAACAGAGAATGCTTTTGTAGATGGGCGTTATGTCTTAAACACAGATTTAAACTCCAAAAAAGTGACATTTTCTGGTCCTAATGAATATAAAAGGAAATGGGACGATAGTCTTAAGTACCGGTCGTTAGGTAACGATCAGTTGGTTACCAACGGCTTTGATGACAATACACTTTCTAGTGGCGAAGATGAAGATTTCGGTGAAGATGTTTCTTATGACAAGGATAAATTTGCTAGTGGTGATGGAAGTAGTGATGATATAAGGGATAATAAAAACGATGATGAAAGCATCAAGCATCAATTCAAAGAGAAAGTAAACGTTAGTGGATCACAAGATGTTGATGATTCTAATAAAGAATCAAGTGGCCTCTTTCTTGGAGCCAAGACRACGCATGAAATAGCTCATGACGAAGATAATACTGATACTACTAACTCAGACAACTATCCTAGGAAAAATAACCTTTACAAGGATTATGGCACTCAAGTGATGGATAACAATTTCACCACAAAACGTGATAACTATACTGAATGGACATCTACCAGCGATGTCCTCGACAAGACTGGCAATAACATATCAAATATCAATACTGACAACAACTCAGAAACCATTTCCAGAATAAATCTTGATACATTGAATCATAAGATGCAGTTGGCTCCTAATGTTAGTATTGCGCGAGGAAATTACACACAGCAAGCCACTACAAGTGGAAAAGACAAAGGCTTCCAAGGAAATGAAGCTAGCAACGTTAAAAACGAATTTCCTGAAAGCGTAGAAGGAAGTTCTTTTAATGATCTTATCAGAAAATACGAAGTTTCTGCAGAAAAACTAGATCAAGAGTCATCGGGAAGTGGAGAAGCTGGATACAGCGAGGCTTTGAAGACAACAGACAAAACTGGCGAGAGTTATTCCTTGAATAATTCAGAAAACGAGTCCGGTAGCTTTTCCAGAATAAATCTTGACATACTCCATGAAAAGCTATTATTAGATTCTAAAAATGGGAGTCTTGCTCAACAAAATGACACACGAAAAGAGGGCTCAAGTGGTAATGATTCTTACAAAACCGAAGATCATCCCCAAGACAATCAAGCAAGCAGCCTTAAAGACGACTTTCCTGAAAGTATGGAAGGAGAAGGCAGTTCTTTTGATGAAAAGACAAATCAAGATTCATCAGGAATGGGCGTCTCTGGACAAGAAGAGACTTTGATGGCAAATATCGACAAAAATTCTGACAAAGATTCAGAATCAGCATACGGAGAAACTTACAACACGGAGGCGAGAATCTTAGATCTAAAGCCCAATACAAAGACTACTTTGAATATCAGTGGAAACTCTGGGTACCCAGATAATACACTGAATATATCTTCCCAGATTTACAGCAAAGATTTCAAAACATCTGAGCTATCAAGTAACTTCAGCTATAGTAATGGCAATACAGGAAGTTCCTTGAAGCAAGAGGAAGGCGACATTCAAAGAACAGCAACAAATTTGGCAGGCAAGAAAGAGTATAGCAAAATGTCTGCGGAAGAAAGAAAAGATATGGAAGCAAGTGGTGTGATAGGCGAAACAAGTGGTGACATAAACAGTCACCATAACGAAGGAGCAAGCGACCTGACAGTAAGTGGTGATGAAAAGGAAGAAAATGGAAGTGACCGGGTCAGTGACATCGATAACAATGGTAACGAAGAAGGAAGTGGCCTTACAGCAAGTGGTGATGAAAAAGAAGAAACTGGTAGTGACCGAGTCAGTGACATCGATAACAATGGTAACGAAGAAGCAAGCGACCTGACAGCAAGTGGTGATGAAAAAAAAGAAAATGGTAGTGACCGAGTCAGTGACATCGATAACAATGGTAACGAAGAAGGAAGTGGCCTTACAGCAGGTGGTGACCAGGTCAGTGGCCTCAGTAACCATGGTAACGAAGGAGCAAGCGTCCTGACAGCAAGTGGTGATGAAAATGAAGCAAGTGGTGGTGCCCAGCTCAGTGACATCGATAACAATGGCAACGAAGAAGC